TCCAAGTCAATAATACATTTTCTCACCTAATTGATCACTTATACTTTCCTGCATTAAAAAAGGGGAGTAGCCAATTAATTGTTCATTTACCACAACTTTTTATTGACGGATAAGGGTGTGTGATAGCTGGAAAGCTTATTGGCAACATAAATCTTATCTTGCATCTGACTGTTTCATCCTGGCGAAACAACCACAAGAATAAGGTAAATAATAGGCAATCCAGACCTCACAATTCTTTTTAAAAAGTTGGAATACAAGCACAAGGTTTTACTCCGTCCTTGTTGTAAGATTTTGAAGTAATATTCACAGTCAATAAGCTAGAAGGCAGACTTCTCAAGACTTCCTAGCCTTTATCTGATAAAAGATTATAATAGTCCTTGAGAAAAAGGCACGGAACTCACATAGTAACCCTTGTTTGAACTTTTTCTAAGGTTTTTGATGAATGTTATGTAATTTTGGTCGTGTCGCGCAAAATCTCTACACATACAAATCTATACCCATGTGCCCAACAGTTCTTTGATAAGCGTTCTGCTCGTAAAGATGCCATCTGCATGCAAATTGCTTATCAATGTTCTGCTATGCACATGATCTATGCTATCAACTGATATTTGCTGCATATGAGGTGATAAGGGAGCAGTAGGTCTGTCAACAATAATCATTATCTCATATCGCTACAAAATATCGTAGTTTGATTGAATGCTCAGAAAACTTTGGTAGCGAGTGAAGAAATGCTGTGAAAATTTGAAAATAGCGTACGTGTATTTTCGAGCCTATCCTGCAATTCATCGGATATTTTCAACGTTTGAAGTTTCAATAGCGCATCGGCAAGATTCTGTCGAAGGCGGCATAGCTCCGGCTCAACCAGATTTTTTCTGAAACGAGAGAAATTTCATATGGCAAGATTAGCCTTTTTGTGTGGATAGATGATAAATACGTACATGGTTCTATTATAGAAGTTGGGGGTTCGTCGAAATTGTATTCTAAAAGCAATCAGTGCTTCGCCAGCGTTGTCCTCAATTGACACTAAACACAAAAATAGAAACTGATGAACGGAAAAGGGGTTATAAAAACTATGAAAAAGCTTCAAGAGAGAGGATAAATGCAGCGCGACAAATGTACACAATGGCTGCAATCTATTTATGGCCTATTCTTACAGTAGGAAAACAACATAGCCAAGCGAACTACTTAGGCAGGTTATACAGCGATACTAGCAACCTTTTGGCATCTGTTTGGATGTAATAGAAGCGGAATCCTGCTGGTGAAAGATATGGGAGGTACAGATTGCAGAGAGGCTATAATGCAACAGCTGAGACGTAAAAAGATTACAAAAGTCAGCGCAGTTGTTACTGACGAAAAAAAGACATCTTGAACGAATGTTGTCATAAAACCCGCGGATTACCACAGTAGCCTCGATGGCAGACGACAATAAGCAAAATCAAGTAAAAAAAGTATAGATATTTTAGATAACCGTGATTACCCTCGTACTGTTCCAAATTATGCTTTTGCATAGCTTGATTAGCCAAATGTGCAGATCGTTGACAATATCCAATAACTCGTTCGTCGAGGCATGTCTAAAAAAAACTCAGTAACGCTCTAACTTCAAAAGAGGTTTTAGGCTCACTGGCGCTCTGGCGCTCAATTCTTCCAGAGATCTAGAAGTTGTTGTAGATTAAATACTGGATGAATTAGTGGTTTCTAACTAGATTTAGTCAGTGAGCCAGTTACAATAATATCCATGCTCTCGCATAGGAATGTTTCCCAGCTACCACCCGCAAGCGGTTTGTTAGAATTGGAGCAACTTTGTCAGCTGATCAGCGCTAACATCCTATAAATTAAACAATTGCTGCATTGCTGACAAAACACTCATGGGTGAGAGGCTCGGAAACATTATTTGATTTTACTGAAATCTGTACACAATAATTTCAAAAGATGAACTGTTAACATTAGAAGAGTACACCTTGCCGCTTAATTTAAAAGGTCTCATCAAAACGTTTTCACAAAAGATAGTGT